TTTTAAGCAATTGTTAACAAAACATTTCTAAACAAAGACATGTGCTTAGACATCAAGGAAAAAATGGGAATTGAAACGGGATATAAAACTAAGGAATGTAAATATGTTAAGGGTGGTTCATAGTATCATTAGCATTAATTTACAATGTGAATGAATTTGTTTGAGGCTTCGTTTTCACGACAGGGAGACTCAAACTATCTATATTGATAATCTGTGTCGACGTGTAATAATGCGATAGTAGCAGTTGCTGTTTAATCCTTCATACTGAATAATTTCATTTTAGTTGTAGTATTGCATTGTGAAAATTAATTTATGCAAAGCTGTCGCAATATTTTTTGCATAATTTAGTTTCATTTCACTTCAGTTTTTCAAACCTTCAAAATTGAGGTAATATTAGGAAAAGGGATATACTATTGATTTACATGTGCTGAATGGTTTTAAAATTTTTCCCTGAAGCATTTTTAAATAATAACCTCCAAATGAGCAGTACCCATGGTACAGTTAAGTATTTTCGCAATGAGTACTGTTTTCCTTGAAAAATCTTCGTAAGAATTAAGCTAGCAAACAGTGAACCCCAAAGATCGGTTTAGTTGATATTAGGTGATGCAATATAAAATCGGTCATCAAATTCTTCTATAGAATGTCATAACCATATCATGAACATGACATTTCGCAACCAATTCATCCTCAACCTAAACAATTCCATCTTACTAATCAAAAAATGATATGTAACGGGACAGGAACATGAAAATTCAGAGCCTTGTTATTGATAACATTGACAGAAAAGAATATTATTACTGTTGGCAGGTAATCACTGAAAAATAATTAAAAGGGTAGCAATTTAAAATCAGTGATCAATCGATAATGAAGTCGAAAATTTCGAAATGCATGAGATAAAATCCATATTTGTTAATGATATAGCTATGCTATATCATTAATAAATATGAATTTTATCTGATAAAGGAATGTCCCGATTTCCGTTTGAAGAAAATATTGTTTGAAAAATCCAGTGAATCTAGAAATTTTTATCGCTTCACGTGAATATGAAGCACTGCGAGAGAGTTTTCTATTATACAAAGGAAGTTTTTAATTCTCCAAATTGAGGCAATTTTTCCGATGGTGTAACACATTCCTTAGTTTCTCCATTAAATTTCAGACGTCTTAAGCAATAAGGATATATTTCAATTATAGTTCGCAATGGTGCGCCGCTCTACTGCTTCCTCGATACGTATTTGACCATTCTTTATACATTTTGCTCAAGAAAAAAATGATAAAAACGATGAAATTGTCAATTGCTCGAATATTTTTCAGAATAGTTGACAAGTATATGACATAATGTGACAACAAAAATATAAAAATGGACAAATGTAATAAAGTAAAAAAATCGAACAATAAAAAATTAAATTCAAAAAAGTCCAAAATTTCGAACATAAACAAAATTAAATCAAAAACAAGCATTGAAATAAAAATAATCAAAAAAAACTGCAAAAAACTATGTCAGACGTTTGACGACAAAATTATTCTGGAATATTTTAAAAAGGCTACGAAATTTCAAATTTCTGAAACATTCTGAAATTGTAATTTCAAAATACATTCCAAAATTAGCAACGAATTAAATTTCCGGATAAAAAATGTATTTCATGATTTTAGATAATATTTAATCAATTATAAAACACCATGTATTGGACTGATTAAAGCATTCAATTGCGAAGATACGTTATCCTCATTATTACTAATATTATTACTGTTATTATTACTATTATTATTATTATTGCTATTATTACTATTGATGTTATTTAATTGTTGTTGTATTATTCGATTTCGCCAATAAAAAGCGCTCCTGTTAGCTTTTTCCATCCTTCGATTGAGAATAATTTTATATTTGTCATTTTCTTCAATGCGTAAATTCATTTCATCTAATTGTTTTCTCATTCTTATCTGTTGCATTTGACACTAAAATTGCATAAAATTTGCATATGAAATATAGCGATAAAATTTTACAATAAATTGCATAATACTAAAAAAATGGCAATATTGATTCGTTTGGAGAGAATTTTTAACGAAAGGTTCGAACGTATTTTTGTACCAAAATTTTAATGGTACAAAAAAAAAACTTCAAGTTACAGATTTTTTTCGGTTGTTTGGTGTTTTCATTCAGTATCATTGCTCTTCAGTAATGCAATAAAAAAAATTTACTTAATAAAGTTTTCCTTACAACTATATGCCAATTTTAAACGCTCTAAAATTTAAATAATTTAAAAAATTTGGAATTTTTTGAGAAAAATTTTTTAAAAAAAAATTTTTTTTCCAGGATTACTTACATATTTGATACATTTGTAAAGTTTTTTACACTTCTTTCTTCCAATTTTAATTTGACTTTGAATTTTAACAATCATTTCACATTCCATTGAGAATGATCTGAAATAAAAAAAAAAGCAAATAAATAAATAAATTCATAATAAATAGAACATTCTTTAAAAAAAGGAATTATTTGATAAACTTCAATCCATCAGTTTTCTGAAAAAAAAAAGTTAAAAATTGATAAGAAAAATATGTTAAATTCATTTATAAATTAATTCGTAATAAACTTACTGACAATCAAATTCACTGAAAAGCTCATCTTTTGCATCTTCCACCTCATCTGATAAAGAATTGATACGACTTTGTAGTGATTCAATCAGTTCTTTTTCTTCAACAAGTCTAAAAAGATATTTTCGATTTTATTGTCAAAGGAGAAATAAATTTTTTTTTCTGTCACAAAGCATATCCTCAGTTCATTTAATTTTTTGATAAAATTAAACCATTTCCATAGAAAAATGTTAAATTTAAAAGCTTATTTTGTTTTTGTTTTTTGTTTCTTTTTAAGAAAAAATGAAAAGGAAAAAATAAAGAGCACAAATTAAATTAAATTTGAACAAAAAAATTGCGAATAAAAGTAAATTTCAAAATTATTTTTAAGCATTAATAAATTATTTAAAAAAAAAGGACAAACAATAATGATTTGAAAATAAACAGATGTTCTGAGGAAAATTTGAAATTTGGATGTAAATTTTATCAAAACAAGTTACCTAACATAAAATTACTGTATGAAATTAATTTTCCATTCTAATCAAAAATTACGAAAGTTTTACTTAGTATTCCAAAAGTGTAAGTCTTTCTGTAGTTCCTCCTGAATGGTCTGAAGTTGTTGAATATATCTGTTTCTTTTTTGATTCCTTTTATTGCGAAAAAAATTTCGCAAAATAGACCACATGATCATTGAAATATTTTAATTGAATGCACAAGTTTCCAATTAAAATAATCTGAAATTTAAATTAAGAAACATTTTATACAATAATTCAAAATTTGAGAAGAAAAAAAATTTGACTATAGTTTTAAATTTAAAAAGAAAAAAGAAAAGAAAAATCAGCAAACTTTCAATTGCAATACTCTGAAATTTAAATTTAAAAAAAAACATTTTTTTGACAGTGATTTGAAATTTGAAAACAAAAAATTTCACTGTAACTTGAAATTTTGAAAAGAAGAAAGGAAGGAAAAAATTTTGCAGTAATTTGAAATTTGAAGAGAAAAAATCCCACAGTAATTCGAAATTTGAAAGGAAAAAAAATTGCTGTAATTTAAAATTTGAAAAGAAATTCTGTAATGATTTGGAATTCGAAGAGGAAAAAATTTTACAACAATTTGGATATTGAGTGAGAAAAAATTTCACATTTCGCTTTATCAATTAAATTCAAAGAAAAAAAATCAATTTTAGATAGTTGATAAGCATACTCAATCAATCAATTAATCAGTTAATCAATCGATTAGTGATATCGTAGTACCGATTTTTATGGTCTGATATGACAAGAAAACGATGAACAAGATAATATGGATGAGTTGTGAATGCTTAAATATGAGTTCGGATCAAATGACACCTGAACATCCAGGTATCCGATACACATGAAAAAGCCTGGGAAGCTCCCAGGAGCTAATTATGGGAAATCATTATTGATGGAATTTGGAAGAGTAAATAAAAGTGACAAGTGAAAAATCTATCCCAGGATATTTTTCAATACTTTCTTTTGATTTATTACGTTAAGTCATTTTTCTTTTTATTAGTTTTTTTAAATTTAAAATCTGAATTCTTCGTAAATTTTCAAAAAATTTTGTTACATTTTCTCCTAAAAACCGACGTAATGAAATATTTCTATGAACAAGAATTTATAAAAATTTGAAAAAAAAATAAAATAAAAATAATAGTTATCATTGAAATTTTTAATTCCTTATTTCAAATTTATTTCGAAAAATTTGAAAGAGATATAAACTCGAAAATTTATTTTTAACCTTTTTTATTTCAGAGTTTAAAAATTTTTAACTTCATTTTATTCAACTTATCACTTTCCCTATTGTCACTTCCCATTATCACTCATTATCGATTCCTTTCTTTTTTTTGTCAAGATACAATCTTAATTTTTGTATTCCTCTTACTAACATTTCATCATCAGTTTTAGTTCATGAAATGACTCGAAGAAATTCCAGCAGTTGATCACGTAGGAAATACTTTTGTTAACTTACATACACGGACATACACACACACACTCATACACACACACAGAAACACACACGCAACGACACACACAGAGATACACACACATACACACGGACACAGATAGACATAAGGATTTGCACATACATACACACACACACGCATGCACATACACACACACACGCACACACACACACAGACATCTTTTCCTTTCATAGAGGTAGCATTACCGCTTTGCCGCCTTTGTTTTGGTTATTGTCACACGATGACATGCTGGGAAAAATTTCGTGAGAACAAATTCTACTGTTCAGATCTGATTACTGTCATTGTCGGAAAAACCGAAATAATTGTATCATAAAATTATTCATTCAGATAGTTTGCATTTACATTTATTTTTCCTCTCTCATCCTCAAAGTCATGAGTCAGCTATCAAATCTTTAAATGAGCTTTATTTGATATTGAGGTTTGCTGACAACTAATTTTATGAGCATTGATGGGCGTACTGTAGAGATATCTAATCTTATAAACATGTTTATGTTATAAACATATTTATATCCAACATGTTTATCTCTAGATTTCTGTTAATTATTGTATTTTTTTTTCCTTTTCTCCAAACAAAGTATATTGTGATTGAAATCATTTAATACAAGTT